CAACCCGCCACCAAGTTCGTAGAGAACGAGGGGAGGTGGAGACCTGACAGTGTGCCCGACGGAACCGCAGGACAAGGAAGGACAGTGGAGGAGGTCGCAATGACCGGACCCCCAGAGGGGTCAGCAAGGGAGACAGCAACTGGCCGAGCAAGCTGCTCAAGGGCAGTGCGGTCACGAAAGAAACAGCGAGAAGCTCCTGAGTCTAGAGTGAAGGTGTGCAGTGCCTCAGTGGACTCAGTACCAGGGGGCGCAGACTCACTAGCACCTAGAGCAGCAGCCTCACCAGCACCTGGGGCAGCAGACACGCAAGTACCTAGAGCAGCAGCCTCACCAGCACCTGTGGCAGCAGACACGCGAGCACCTAGAGCGGCAGCCTCACTGGTCCGAATGCCCGGGTCGGGCGGAACACGCAGGTACTGATCACCCTCTCCACTAGTAGACAACACATACATGACAGTGAGAATAGCATCAAAGTCAAGAGCATAGATATCGATGTTCTTCCTCATCAGCTCAGCCCAGCGGGGCAGCTCAGTGGCAGCAGGGAACTGAGTGCGCCAAGCGTCGTCAAGGCGGGAGAAGCAGCGCTGCGTGGTGTGCGCCCTCCCACACGTCTGGCCAGTGCGGTCACCAGTGCGGATGACGTACGTGCAGCTAAGGCCACCCCCCCCCCCCCCCCCCCCGTGCTGAGAGTACCACTCACGAAGCTCCTGAGACGACGGAGTGTGCTGCTGGCTCTGGCCACCGCCAGTGCCTCCACGACCACCACCTCCGCCGCCACCACCTCGACCACCACCGCCCCTGCCGCCTCCGTGTCCACCGCCGCCCCAACCACCGCCCCCACCCCGGCCACCTCCTCCGCTGCTGCCGGCTCCACCCCCACCGCTGCCACTAGCTCCTCCAGCCCCGCCACCACCCCCATTGCCTCCACCGCCCCCACTGCCTCCACCGCCCCCACCACCACCTCCCCCGCCGTCACCTCCACCTCCCTTGCCCCCTTTGCCCTTGCCGCTGTGGCGCCAGCTCGAAGCGGACGCAGTCCCGACCTGCTCAGTACCAACGAGGTCGACAGCAGCAGCAGAGGCGACAGAGGGGAGAAGGGGGGAAGGGGAACACCCCTCGAAGAAAGGGGTGCGGGGGTCGCCACGAGAGGAAGCTACAGCGACTATGCTAGTCTCGGCTGCAAGCAGTTCCTTCTCGAGCAGGTCAACGGTGAGCTCAGTGGGGCAGCGAGCGAGGAAGTGGTCCCTGACCGCACGAAGAGAGTCAAGGAGACGGGTGACAAGGTGGTAGAGAGTGAGCCAGAGCGGGGGAGGGTGGGTGGCAAGAAACTCAGCGGGCATAGCGGCACGGAAGCGAGCCTCACTAGTGCGGAGGTGCGTGATGAGGTCAGCTACTGTGGCGAAAGCGGACAGGTCTGGGAACAGGTAGGGGAGCGAGAGACGGCCTAGTGCAGCAGAGGCAGGTGAGGAGTAGCGTGCAACTACAGCAGTGTACAGTGCCTGTGCAGTTTTGTGCTGGCCAAAGTGCTCGCGCTCATCTACCGGCAGGGAGTTGCGAATAGCGAAGCGAGCGTGGGCGTCACGAGTCTGCCACTGTGAGCGGGCAGTACTGTCAGCAGTAGTAGCAGGGGCAGGAGCGAGTCCTAGTGCCTGATCGTACAGCGAGATATCCTCCTTGGCAGTGAGCTGGAGGAACAGGTGCAAGTCATCTAGCCAGGTGTCAAACTTCAGCGGGCGGCCCTCAGCATCGAAAGCGAGTACAGCAGGGCTAGCCATAGTTGCTGTAAGAGCAGTAGCAGTAGTAGCAGCAGGAACAGCAGTAGTGTCAGTAGCAGTGAAAGCAGCAGTGGCGCGGCTCGGTAGGGCGGCGCGGCTCGGTAGGGCGGCGCGGTTCGGTAAGGCGGCGCGGCTCGGGCCGGGTGGCGCGGTTCGGTGGGGCGACTCGGCTCGGCTAGGCGGCGGCTACTCGAGGTGCGGCACGCGAGGGCGTGCAGGGCAGAGCGGGGCCGGTCCGCACGGGGCACAAAGTGGCGAGCTAGCGAGGGCGGGGCCGGTACGCGAGGGGCACGCAAGGGCGCGCGGGTGAGTGTGGGCCGGTCGCACGGGGCACGCAAGGGCGCGCGCTAAGGGGCGGGGCCGGTCCGTAAGAAGCACGCAAGGGCGCACGAGGTGGGCGGGGCCGATCGCACGGGGCACGCTAGGGCGTGCGGGCTAGGCGGGGCCGATCGCGAGAGGCGCGCTAGGGCGCGCGGCAGTGAGAGAGAGAGAGGAGGGCGCTCGAGGGCGCAACTAGGCGAGGCGCGCTAGGGCGCGACTAGGCGAAAACGGTGGGCCCTTATCGATTCGGTCCTAGGTTACGACCTAGGCTCGCGATACCATGTTAGAAACTAAGAACGAACGAGAATGGATGAACTAGCAGAAAGTTGGGTACAAGTAGGAAACCCTAAGTTTGTTGTACCCCCTAAGGCTAAACCCACTATAGCCTACACAATGTAAACATATAATGTTTGACAGGTGAAACACATCGCAGATGATAAAACAACTGAGCGAACCACTTACGTGCGGAAGTTTTCTGAGCTACCTTCGTCTTCATGCGGACGCTCAAGTTCCAGCGCCGCCGAAACCGGTCCGACCACCGTTGACTGCCCTTCCATTTGACGTCGGGGAACAGAAGCTTCATAAACTCGCGCGACCACTCCTGCAGCCGACCGACAGAGACCGCGCATCCCTTGCGCCGCCACTCCAGCAGCCTCGCATAGACCTTCAGCTCCATGGCCCTGTACCAAGAAGCTCTGCCGCGACCGTGCATCCGCATGCGAGCGCCGTGAGCATCCTTGAGGATGGCGGCCTCCTTCATCCACTGCGTCAGGCACTTCCGATGGATAACTGATTCACGTGACAGCGCGCGGACCAAAACCGCCACTTCCATGAGTGCGCACCACTTCAATTTCTCTTGGGCTGTGTAGCCCTTTCGCTTGTGCTGCGTCATCCTGTGCGTGGGAGAGGGGGGGCGGGCATCTCGGTTATGGGAAGATGGGTGGGGACGCTTGCGGTTTATCGGTGGGTAGGAAGGGATGGGCAATTTTTCAGGAAGGCCGTCGCACGACCAGTATTCCACTCCGTCGCCGTCATCGCCGCCCACAGCACCCTCGGGGAACACATCGGCCTCCGTGCCCGCCTCGGTGCCAGCCTCTGTGGCGGTCTCGTTGTCCGCCCCGCCGGCCTTGTCGCCCTCCCCGCCCTCGGTTTCCACTTCGTCGTCAGCGCCCACAGCAGATTCGTCCCACGCGCAGTTTCCGAGCTCGCCCCAGCGTGGTGCCGACGCGGATTCACCTTGAGGCTTGTCTCTGACAGGCTCTTCCAGCCATTCGGTGAACGTCCGAGGGAGATACGGGCAAAGCCGGAGCACGGGCAGGTTGCCTAAGGTTTCCAGAGGAGGAGGATTCGGAGGAGTAGGAGGCGCGGGAGGTGACGGAGGAGCAGGAGGAGCAGGGGGAATAGGAGGCGCGGGAGGCTGTGGAGGTTCGGGGGGATCAGGTGCGACACGGCTGTACCACCCGTCAGCGCTAACGGTAAAAGCGGGCTTCCTAGGCTTGTTCTTGAAGAGGAAATGGGTGCCTGAGAATTCCGCCATGGCTGAAGCAGCCTGGCGGGAGAGAAACGAAAACTGTGGTTAGAATGTGCAAGAATGAGGATTGAAAGGGAGTTGGGAGGGACCCCTTCGCTTTGGCGCCTCGAGTTCCTCGACGATGACAAGCAGGAAACCCCCGCCTACACCCGCAGAGGACCATGCGTGGCGTGCACGACGCTGCAATGGCATGGCGAATTCCACCACCTTCTAGAGGGTTCGGGTGGAATTTGCCTGCCTGGCAGCGCATGACGCTGTGATTGGGCCGCACGGCAAGATACGCGTCAGCGCTGGCATGAATGATTCCACCCCCTTCTAGAGGATTCGGGTGGAATCGGCGCATGAGCACGCCATTGGACCGCACGGCAGGATTCGTGTCAGCAATGGCAGGTTCGTTGCTTCTGGACGTGAATGTGAACCCCGAACCCGAATCGCGGTTGGTTTCCCCTGAAACTCATGCACGAAACCACGTGATCGAACGTTTGGTTATGTTCGCCTTACAGAGAGCTTCAATTCGGTACTTAAAAAAACAAATTTCATTTTTCCCTCTTACAGGCGCATGCGCTTATCCCCGATACTCGTTTACAAGCGCCCCCCTTATAAAACTTGAGTTTACAGGCGCATATGCGCTACTATACGGGGTAATACGGTATATCTAGGTCGAAGAATACAAGTGAAGGCATAAGATGTCACATTACGATTAAACGCTTCTTTCACATCACATTACCACCTGCTTGTTTAGATTGGCTACTGGATCACCCTTTTAAACCAGCAACCTGTCATGCCATGGATTCTGTCAGGCCCTAAGAAAGCCCAAATGTCAACCAATTTCCTATCAGTTACTCCTTTTAAAGATGGTTTCAGAATCTACATGACAAGAGGAACAAGAAGATACTTTTATTGTGTTCAAATGACGAGCACTATAACTTTTGGTTCATTGTCAGGAGCTCCGTTTTCACCGTTGGTAACTACCAGGGATGGTTTCTCGAAGGCTTTCCCAATGCTGATGTCATGTTTCTCAGTTTCCAAGGCGAGAGCTAAGATGCTAAGATTCTACCGCGATTATCAAACATCAAGGTCTACGCGGCTACCAAGGTTACAAGTTTCAAGCAACATCAGCCACGGAAGAAGCCAAGGCCCATACAACGCTTTTTTGGCTATAAGTTTCCGGTGCTCAGAGCAGAGCTGTGTCATCAAGCCTCGGAACTTTGTGCTCATTGATCTGCTTCAGCCGCAGATTCTCTTGTTCTCATCATCGCACCATGCCGCGCCAGCCGAAGAAGGTTGCTCAGCCGGTTAACAAGCCCGCGAGTAATGATGCACGGGACCTCGCTGCTAAGGGTCATCAGTCAGAGCCGACGACGCCAAAGCCGATGCTGAAGGATGTGGAAGGTCCTTTCGCGGATGGTGTGCGTATATCGTTGGTGAAGAAATTGACCGCTCTGAAGTTTCCGTCCTCGGGTACGGCGGCTGAATGAGGGGATAACAGTGCTCAGGAAGGGAAGGACAAAGAGGATGAGGTGACGTCGCCGATCGCTGACCCCGAGGCACCTGCGAAAGGGGAGGAAGAAGAGGAAGATGAGGACGATGGTTATCTCAGCGACGATCCGGAGGAGCATTTTGATCCGGTGAAGGCGGGGGAGATTGCTGCGCGCGCTGGTTTCTCAATCACGATGCTGGTCCCGATCAAGTACGAGGAGGAAGTTCAGCGTACCATTGATATGGTCAAAGGGCTTCTTGCGCTGTGGAGGAAGCACATGTCGGCCCACATACTGACGACGACTAAATGTCAGGTTCTCCTGCCTGCGTGGTTGTCAAAGAAGCGGTATGGAAGGCTACAAGCCACCTTCCAGCAGGCATCGGGCGCCAACTACGTGTGGTGTCGCAGGATCGAGCACAAGATGCTGAATGAGAAAAGCATTTTCCTGGACTGGCAGCATCCAGAGAATCCGATCTACATTCAGGAGCGTGCGACAAACCCGAACTCGATTGAAGTGCTGCTGAAGAGCGTCCCGGCCGCCATTACGTCGGAGACGGTGTATGAGTACCTGGTGAAGACGGTGCTGGAGAAGCGTGGTCGGACCCCGTTTCTCAGCGGTGCTGCTTTCCACAGGGTGGTGGATCCGGTCACCGGTGCGGATACTGACAAGATCAGGGGCCTGGTTAAGGGGCACCCGGGGGATAAGTATCGCTAGTGGCATTTGTTTTTGACTCTGTGCATCACAAGCAGCTTCTCGTCCACTACCCTTCGCTTTCCTGTGAATTTTGCAACGGCATGCACATGACGAAATTCCACGATGATTTTGTTACGGAGCGTCAGGAGAACATCGGCAAATGGAACCTGACTCTCCAGCATATGCACGCGATTAACGGTAAACAGCTGTGCACTAACCCCGCTTTTCAGGCTGTCGGGGTCCCGTTCGGGTTCGCTGACGGCTTCGTCGCCTCGTCCCTGAGCAGCTGCGTCCCTCCCGCTAGACGCACGGGTGAAGAAGATCTTACGCGATCCGGCGGTGGCGCTGATCTCCACTGGGGGGAGCCGGGAGGATTGGCTATGTGTCCAGGAGGCGTGTGGCAAGGCGCATGGCTCCAGCTTCACGCAAGCTTTAGCGCATGTGAAGTCGATTCAACAGTGCACGACACTCCTGCAGGGGGGTTCGGCCAGCAGGAAGAGCAAGGGGAAGATGAACCTTATCGCGATCCGCAAAGAGTTCGGTCTGTAGCGGAGACAGCGCAAGAAGAGGTGGTCATCAGGAGTGTGCATGATCGCGGCAGAAGTGGTCAGGAAGGTGTAAGAAGTTTACCTGGCAGTTGTGTGGCGTTGTACGTAGGAGGAGATTTCTTGTACCAAGCCCATGGATGCGAAGGGGCTTGTCTCAGTGGATTAAAGGGTTACAACCACAACCTCACCCTGTGCGAGGTCAATGTCAACGGCCTCGGAAGCAACGGCAAAAGAACTACACACGCAAAATGGATTAGAACAATCGCAGATGTGGTGGTGCTCACAGACACAAAGATAGGCGAGGACCATAACTATTGGACGCAACTGAAACCATCATCGGCGGCGGTGGTGGGGAACAGTGAAAGAGCAGGAGGAGTTGCGGTGTTGTCTTTCAACGAGGAAATTAAGTTAACAGAAGTGGTTACGCACCCGTCGGGCAGGCTGGTGGGAGTCACGGTATCGTGCTCGCAGGTCACCTTCAGGATGGTGGCGATGTACTTGCCCGTGCACCCGTGCACTAGAGGCGTGTTCTTCCGGAGTTGCCTCCCACTCTTTGTCCAGGCTCAACCAGTGTCCGCGCACCTGGTGGTGATGGGGGATTTGAACCTGGTGGAGGACCCAGAGTTGGATCGTACGTCGCGGCCAGGCTCGGGAAATGAGAATCAGAGGTTACTGAGTTTCTGGCGGGCAGAGGACCTCAGAGATGCCTTCCGGGTACTACATCCAAACTGCCCGGAGTACACGTTCAGGGACAGGGCGTCAAAGGCGAGCACGCGCATTGACCGGGGCTTGGTGTCTTTCTCGCTGCTCGGGTTGCTGGCGGATGCGCGCCACGCCAAAATACCGAAGGGTTTGTCGGACCACTGGTTTGACATAAAGATTGCGCTCGCGGTGGCGGCACCAGTGGATCAGGGTCCTGGCATGTGGAGGATGCATGCGAAGCAGGCACAAAGGAGGAGGGTCAGTACGGTGACTGCTAGCATTCTTAAAAAGCTGGACAAAGAGGAGAAGGTTGACCTCGGGAAGAAACTGAAGTTGCCCAGCATGGGATTGAGGGAGTACTCGCGGGAGGAGAGAAAAAGGGTGAAGGCGACGGTCTTACACCTGGAGGGCGTGGTGGAGCGCCTACGGCACAAAGTGATGCGGTATCCAGACGACAGGAGGGCGCAAAGCAGACTGGTAAGAAAGGAAGCGCACCTGGAAGCGTACCTGCAGAGCTGCAAAGACCGGATGCAAGTTCTGACGGGAATCAAGGTGGAGCTAAACGGGGAGGTCCCGTCGCCTTACTTGTCGGCCAAAATCAAAGTGCGGAAAAAGCGGACGGTTATACGGGAGATCTCACATCGAGGAGCGGTATACCAGGGGACGAAGGAGGTACTGAAGGCGGCCGCGGATCATTTCAAAGCAGCTTTCAGCGAGGTTGAACCGGAAGAAGAGGTGGACTGGGGGGCCTTCTCGGAAGGCGCAAAGTTCTCAGAGGCGGATGCCGCGCTCCTAGGCGCAGACTGGACAGAGGAGGAGGTCAAGCAGGCACTGGAGAGCCTCCCGAAGGGGAAGTCCCCCGGTCAGGATGGGTTGCCGGCGGAGTATTTCATCCTGCACTAGGATCTGCTTAAAGAACACGTGATGGGTTTTGTCGGGGAGTTCGCCGGGAGGGCGACGATGCCGGAGAGCCTCTCAACCGCTGTGACAGTACTGCTGCACAAGAAGGGGCCAGCAGACCAGCTGGGGAACTACCGCCCCATCACCATACTGTCCGTCATGTACAAGTTGGTTACAAAGGTCATGGCTACAAGACTTTAAAATGTGCTGGGCAAAGTTCTGTCTAAAGAACAACACGGGTTCTTACCGGGGAAGAGCCTGGCGGATGCAGTGTCGGTGGTAGCGGACGCGGTCGAGGCGGCGAACAGTGGCAAGGAGGGCTGGCTGCTGCTGCTGGTAGATTTTCAGAAGGCATATGACACGGTCTCGCAGACTTTCCTCTTCAAGGTCATGAAAGAGTTGGGAGTGCCCGGAAGGTTCATCAGCTGGACCAGGGGCCTGCACGCAGAAGCAGGAACAAAAGTCATCATTAACGGGTGGTTAAGCGACAGGGTGGAAATGAACAGAGGCGCCAGGCAGGGATACCCTCTAGCGCCGTACCTCTTCCTTTGTGCGCTTGAGCCGCTTTGCAGAGTCACGCAACGGGAGAGGTTGGGGATTGGGCTGGCTGGAAAGGATCCGCTCGCATATGTGGGTTACGCCGACGATACTTCGTTTCTGTTGAAAGGGGAAGCTCAGCTGCGGAAGGCGGTGGAGGTGTTGGATGCCTTCGGTAAACAGTCGGGGCTGAAGGTGGACTGTGACAAATCGGTGGTGGTGCCGTTGGGATGCAACAGGGGGGCACCGGTGCCGGCGGACATCCCGTACAAGTGGTCGGAGCAGGAAGAGCCGGAGAGGCTCCTGGGGGTGTGGATCACGCCTAATGGGGACCCGGGTCCATCCTGGGGGAAAGCTTACGAAACGATAAAGGAGGAATTAAGGAAGTTGGAAACGCAGTATCTCACGACGACAGCAAGAGTAGCGGTTGTCAGCTGCTATGTCGTGCCGGTGCTGATGTTTCAGGCGCAGGTCTACTCGCCGCCGGACAAAGTGTGGGAAAAAATCAGGAAGCTTTGCCACGCCTTCGTCTCGGCGGGGGAAGCGGCAAAAGAGATTTTTTTTATCCTCTGGAGCGCGTACCTGGTGTGCCTCCCACGAAAGGACGGGGGCCTAGGCCAGCTCGACCCGAAGCTCAGCCTCGATGGGTTGGCGGTCCACAGGATTGGGAAGCTTCTGAGCGAGCCGGATGGAACGCGTCGGTGGCTGGCGGAAAAGGCGGCCGACTTCCTGCAGGGGTTGGCCACGTTGTATGCACACCCGTCTGCGATAAAGCATTTGTAGCAGGGTAGTGAACGGTGGAAGGCAACGGTGAAAGTGTTATGGGAGCCACCTTTGGCAGCGCTGCTGGCACCTACGAGCAGATGGGAGGTGGAGGAGGAGTTTATCTGCCTCAACAGAAACATCATGCACAGAGGGGGGAGTCCGTTTGGCCACCAGATAGGCACAGCGGCCCTCATCACCATGCGCGGGACCTGCTCACCGATGGCCCAGGGGGGCGGAGGGAGGTGAAGGGAGAAGATGAACTGACGATAGAATTTGGGAGCAAGGAGGCGGAAGTTATGGCAAGGAAGGCCTATGGGGCCATGCGAGGAAATTGGTCGAGGAACCGGTGTCGGCAGAAGCAGTGGCGGCGGCGTCAGGAGTTGTGAGATACATCCTTCGAGGGCAGCCAGACAGAATCCCATGGGCGGTGGAAGGGGTGGACGGCACGAGGATCGTTGCCTCCAGCATGACGCTCAGCAAAGAGGGGAGGCTGGGAGCTCCGACGGGCTCGAGAGAGACGTGTTTTGAGGCGTGCAGACCTCTGCCGATGGCGGTTCAGAAGGGAAGACTGATAGGGCAGGTGGGCGACCCAAAGGCGCGGCTTATGTCTCAACCTGGGTTTTTCGCCGGGGGGGACTTGGCGCCGCTGCGTCAGATACGGGCTGCACTCACCAAGTCTAAGGGGCGCTCTTGGAGGCAAGCGGAGTGGGAGGAAGTATGGGGCAAGAAGATTGACTTGAAAAAGGCAATTGAAACCCGTGACGCGAATTGCGTGCCACTCAAGGCGAGGGACGTGATTCTCAGAGTTCATAGCATGAACCTCCAGGGGGGGGGAACGCTGGATTTCTTCCAGAACAGGATTGCCTGTGCGCACTGTGGAGGTGAGGAAACCCTAGCGCACTGTCTCTACAGTTGCCCGGTCATACAACCGGTCATCGGCGCGCTCAAGCTGTCACTGCAGATGTTGAACCCGGATAGGCCCATAAACTCCTTGGGGGATCTACTGTTTGGAGAAGGGGGCACGGCGTCAGGCTTCCCTGAGATGACGTTGACAGCGGCGGTGCTTAGGCAGGTCTGGTTGGCACGATGTGATGCAGTATGGCGCGCAGCTCCTTTCGAAAGAAAGAAGGTGGGGCGAGGTGCAGTTCTGGATTTCATGACACATGCGAAGGTGGTTTTGGCATCACGAGGAAAGGTGGCAGTAGCAGGCGAGGGGGGATGCTTCTGGAAAGTGGATAACTGGCGCCAGGTGGCGACTGATGAGAGGAAGCAGCTTCGGAGGATCTGCAGTGAGGACGGGCCAACAAGTTGGGCGGCCCCTTTCCTTTCCATCTGGCGCAACCCACGCACTTTCCACCAGCCTCCGTGACATACCATAGGGGGGATGCGCGGCACCTCACACGGTGTAGCCTAGGCCCTCCAAGAATACAGTTACGACTGCGGCTGTATCTATGTTTGATAATATAGTTACAAAAAAAAAACAAAAACAAAAAAAGATGTCACATTACATTTGTATGTCTGTAGGCTGTAGTGGGGTAGCTTTCATAGAGTACAACCCTTGTAGGGTTG